CTGTCGTCTCATTTTGGTCCTCTTGTTGCGAAAGCCTCTCAGTCCATATTCCTCCAAGCTTTCTTTCAGCGAGATTCCATTTACATGCATTCATTTGTCTTGAGTACTTGCTGCTGCATGCATGAGCAGCAAAGTGCTACTTAAAGATCTTAAAAACAGTCAGTCGGACACCATGCACCATGCATTGAAGCGTGTTGCTTCTAAAGCATGCAGGAAACCTTAATGAAAGTTCTTCTGTGTTCCAGCGTGTTTCAAACAAAAAGCTGCATATTACCTGCCATTCATTTTCACTTAAATGTGGGCCTAATGCTTAATTGGCCTGATGCTTAATATCCTCAGATAAATTAACTCCGGTGCATTGCCATTGCGACTTAACGTTCACTGAGTCAGGCCACGCCCCCCTCTCACAGTGCCCAATAGGGAGAATGTACTTAGGGAGGCGGGTGTGGACCTGAGCCGAACTGCCCCACCCACTGGCTTTGCTGTGCAGCATTTCCACCGCAGGAACAGTAACTGTAACCTAACAACACATCACCGTATCATACAGCCGACATTATCCTCCACTGACAAAAGGAGAAAGAAAAAAAAGAAATAAATAACAGACTCTAAGTGAAAACAAATGAAAAAAGCTGATGAAAAGCGGATATTTGTTCCACTGGTGATAGTTCAAGTCTTCGCTGCAAGTCTGTGATACTTCACGAAAAAGAAAAACACAAAAAAAGCAACAAACATTCTGAATATGTGGTACTGAACAGCTGCACTATGTAGTGAGACTGGTTTGGAGTGAGGTGGAGATCCACCGTACCATCCAATCTCTTTAGCCCCAGTCCTTCTTGCCCTCACTTTTGAAATCAGTTGGCCTCTCCCAAGACTTAAAGCTGCTATGTGACTGCCAGCAAAGACAGAATGACGTATGTCAGTCTGTCTGTCTCTCCGTCTGCCCTTATACACATACACTCACTCTCACACACTCACACACATGCATACAAATACTGAAGCACTCACTCTTTTAGCCCATTGCTGGGGACCGAATTCTCTGTGCTGGAGCTGCTGACTGAAGCATAATGAGAACCTCTAGTGCCCCCTGCTGGATCATACTGGTAGAAGGCGGTATAAAAGAAACAGCAAACTTGATTTTAGTAGTTAATAATTTAAGGCGGTTCGTGGCGTATCCTCAGAAAAACTAACTCCGGGGCATTGCCAGTGCCACATGTTACCTATGATGAGTTTACAGCTGAGCGCGGGCGTTTCACTGGTTGGATGCGTCAGCGTCACATTTGCATATGGCCGTACTATGCTGTCTGACAAACTATATTTTGTACAGATTTTATTTTGTTTTGCAAGCATTTAATTATTTTGCCCAGAGAAAAACTTTGAATTATGCAACAGACATGCAGCTAGTTGTCTCCATGCAGTTAATTAATAAACCTATACACATACACTCACTCTCACACACTCACACACATGCATACAAATACTGAAGCACTCACTCTTTTAGCCCATTGCTGGGGACCGAATTCTCTGTGCTGGAGCTGCTGACTGAAGCATAATGAGAACCTCTAGTGCCCCCTGCTGGATCATACTGGTAGAAGGCGGTATAAAAGAAACAGCAAACTTGATTTTAGTAGTTAATAATTTAATGTTTTGGTTTTACGTTAGGAGAGGTCAGCAACTTCCATTTTGCTGTCAGACCGGCTGTTATGCGTGAAAGATCGGCCTTAGAAATTCATGACAAACGTTGTGTGGACAGCAGATTGAACATGCATTGTACTGTATTGTAATGAAATATTTTACATGAAGCAAATATCCTGACAATAAAAGAGGAAGCGTTTAAAAAAAAAAAAAAAAAAAATGGAAAAGCTTTTATTCGTGTGTTTGTGTGAGTGTTGACATGCATTTCCAGGGTGATAATACGTTGCGTTATTTATTTATTTTAAATTAATTTTTAGCAGTTTAGTTGAGTCCATTTTCATTAGGAATTATGGCTGTTATCTTTCTTTATTTTGCTTGTCTTTATTTTTTCCTTATTGAATGCATGATATTTATACTTTATGAAGAAAAATCTTTGAGGTTATTTCACTGGTGTACAGCAGTAGTGCATTTGAAGCTGTATTAGATGTAAAAGCTTTATAGTAGTGCTAGCTTGGCCAGGAACGATTGTTTTCTGCCTGTTGCTATTTTAGTTTATTACTAAGTCTGTTACAAAGGACTATTATATTGTGGTGTGTTACTGTTTATAACAATGATTACATAAACATCCTGACTTACTGTTAAATGAGCTAATTAATGGCTCAGACTGCTCTAAATGTAATCGCCACATTGCACGTTCCCATGATTTTTAATAGGGCTCATAAGTCCCATATTTAATTTATTTCTTGATTCTCTATAGTAAAACTAGCCTCCCTTAAAATTATTTTGGCCGCCTTGACTAGATCCAATTTTAGTTCATTTAAATTTATTGAATTGATATTTACTTACAGTAGTAATTGTTAAACTATTTTATTAACTAATTTTACATTTTAAGTTACTTTTATTTTTAACTCCTGCTGAATGACATCTTAAATTTGACAAAATCTTCAGTTCTGTGACCCAATGTTTAAAATTATTTTATTATTATTTTATACAATTTTGAAAGTTTAATTTATTTTAATGTTTATTGCTCCAAGCCACATGAATCAGGGTTTTAAAATATGTTCAGACATATTGTCCCAGTTTTGGTAACAGTCAGTCAACATTTTCAATCAACACTTCCCCCACCACCCATGGTTGGTGGACCTTGCTGTCCCTCGCCCTATTTTATACCCTATTCATAGAAAGTGCCAATTACCAAACGTTTGTTAAAAATGCTGTTTAGGGTATTTTCAATTATATTTTTGCTTATATAAAAAGTAGACTTAGTTTTATTAAGTATTTTAGCTGTGGTGTGTTTAAAGCCCACCTAATAGCCCCAGATAGAGCCCGCCCTCACACAGCCGCCCTATCGTTTAATGACTGGGAAATCTCTGTCAATCATCCTCAACCTCTCATCTGATAGGCTGAGTGTGACAAATGGTGGCGCGTTAAATTCCTATTCTAAAATGCTGATTGGTGCGAACAACCCAATAAGCCCCGCCCCAAGCGGATTGTTTGGAATGGTCAGATGGAGCGATGGAGACAGGATGGTAATCCGGACCGCTGAAAGTCTGGACATGTGAGCGAATATATTTTTCAACAAAATTCACTTTTGGTAAGCATCAGACAGTTACTTATTTTCGCTAATGTAGTTATCTTGTCATATTGCACTTGTTATATTTACTGTTTTATCGCACTTTATATAATAACTGGAACATGAGGTTTGGGTTTCTTTAGTGGGCAGTTTATTTTGATTCTTGTTTGTTATTTTTAATTAATGGCGAGATTATGTTGATGATATAATTGTTGATGTTTTATTTTAGTTTGTTGTTTATTCTGTTATATTAATCATAACGTTGCTATAGTGTACAATAACAAGCGTGCGTTGCGTGCCGTATAAATTTAGAATATGTCCTCCTAAGAATAATAAATCAAAAAAAGTTTCTATATCAGATCAACATAATCACTTACGACTGAAAGTGCTGTTTCAGTAAACTGTTATCAAAGAATATAACACATAACAGAATTCCGCAACTTTACATTTTTAAGTGTTTAGTAATTAACAAACCTTAAAAACGTAAAGAATTCAACCCGAGAGTGTTCAAATAATACACACATGTAGTGTTTGTAAGATAAGTCCTCGCTCACGCACGGAAGTCTCGGAGCAACTGGCTCGTGACATTCATGTGTGACGTGATCCGTACTGAAATATTAATGTAGTCTTTACTTCAGTTATGAATAGCTAATGCATTGCCATCCTGTCTTTTCTGCATTTCAAACAGCGTTTAGAGTGTATGCGTGTCTCCCTCGTTAGTTTGGACAGGATGTGGCCTCCTGTGGTCACGGGATGGGTCCGATGGACTTCAAAGCCTGTCAGCAGCACTGATGGGGCTGTAAACAGCTGTGATGCACACTAATTATTTGTATGTTTACATGTTATTCCAGCATCTCAAAGTGTCTGCTTCTGGTTATACACTCTCTTTCGCATTATTTGAAGATGGTAGGTTGCATTTAGTCTGTCTGAAGTGCTCTTTATGTGTGTGGTTTTTGCAGTAGGCACAGACGTATGGAAAAAGAGGGCCACTGAAAAGGAGAGAGAGGCAGGAGTGCTTTTATTTGAATAAGAGAGAGGGGTGGGGTTGGTGGGGGTAACGTGTTGGGGGAGGGAAAAGAACATGCATGGGAGAGCTCCTCTGTTGCCCTGTGAACGGAGGGCTATTGTCCCGGGAACCTTTCAGAGTGACTTCCCTGAGGTCCCC